TTCCTGCAACTACATCCTGGGCATGCCCATAGAGATGTACTGTTTTCCTGTGCCTTCAACCATATCTCCTTACAGAACACATCTGGTCTGTTTTGAAGGGAAACAGGTAATTCACAGGGGCTTGGGGTGCGATGAAGAAGCTCTGAGTTACCTACATTCAGGATTAATCAGCATTATTCTATCCAGGACAACTGTTAACAGGCAGTAGCCCTGCCAGAGGGACAGCTTCAGGACACATAGTGGAGCTAGAACCCAGGCTAGCACGGACTACCAAAGGTAGCCTGTACTAGGAAACGGTGCTCAACTACTCCGTAGTACTACACTCCATCACCTCTTCAGACACATTTACTATGCAACCCTGCTGGAATTTGCATGCCTCAAGCAGAAACAAAGAAGGGGATTAGTACAAACAAACTGATCTGTATAGTAGTACATTGACTGGCTCGAGGAACAACAGTAACAGCACAGAATGATCCTAATCATCATGGTATCACAACAAAAAACTAAGGGTTGCATGGCATATTTCCAGAAAGTATTTTAGCCTTTAGCGAAATGTTTAATCCTAAACACTCTTCCCTCCTCTACAACCACCTCCTGCATTTTTATTATCCTTTGGAACTCTTTACTTCAAATGTAGTAAAGCTACTAGTAAGTTCCTTCCAGTCTAAGAAATACTTTGTAATACCTTTCTGTTAACGCCTTTAAATCATAAGCGGGCACAATTCTAACCAGAAGCTACTGAGTTTCTGAAAGCAAGCTATTTATAAATGAAAGCAGAGCTATAAACACTCATAACACCAGGACTCAATCCAGTATGCCTATTGCTGGGAAAGGGAAAGAAGAAAAAATATGCCACCTCAGGTCAAGAACATGCACTGTACTGTAACTGGTGCAAACAGTGAAAGTAGGGCTCAGCCCCACAGAGCCCCTAGCAGAAACACACCCGTGAGCCTGTATGACCACAGAGGCTGTTTTGGGAGTTTCACGAAAATCCGAACTGGGGAATTAGAAGCTCCCAATTATTTTAGATTGAATAAAAGACCGAAAAATGTGAGAAGATAACCTGACAAAGAGCCCTATGGACAACATCGTAACTTTCCAGGCTTTGACTCTACCTGGGTAACTCCTCAAAACAATCTACAGTCTGGAGAAAGCAATCAAATTCCTCTGACAAGTCGATTCATTTTTCATCAGATCTGGTCAGTGATGCTGTACAAACTTCAAAAAGGTTTGTGATCCACTCTTCTTTTGTCAGAAGGACAGTCTCGACACTAGGCCCATTTTACCCCTACCTCCAGCACAGAACACCATCATGAAGTACGTGCAAAGCACAAGGGACGAAGCTATAATTCCAGCCTGTTACACCATAACAGCGTCTGTGCTGACCACTGTAAATTGCTTCAGCGAAAGCAGAGATCTATTTGGTCCCTGAGCGAGCAATCCCATGTTGTGTTCACTCGCATGACATTACAAAAGCGTAAGGCTCCCTAACAGAAACCTGAAGAGGTGCACCACACATGCTAGCTGCGGGCAGCAGCGCAGACACTGGCCAGCTCAGCAAACTGAACTGCTATATTGCCTCCCCCGGCTCCCTTTAGACATCACCTACATAACCTTGTCTGATGCTGCTTCAGTGACAATAGAAGCACAGCCTTCAGTTTGTCAGCAGCTTCAGCCATGTTTGCTCAAATCACGCCTACAGTTCTAGGAAAGGTCTGGTTTTCTGTACCCTCTCTGCTTTACAACTTGTACAAGAGCCAAACAAGATGTCTGACATACATTGAACTGGATAACTCTTATTTCTCAGGCCTCCATGTTTCATCTGAAAAATACCCATGGGCATATCCTTTACCGGATGCTTGTTTCCTAAAATTGCTGCAACACTTAAGAGCTTCACGCTCAGGGGCCAGCACTTCAGAGCACATACTGTGGTTTCCAGTCAAACCATACATCATAACCATGGCATTTCCACAATTTCCCCTCCTGAGCTGTCTGGGACTGCTCTACCATCGCTCTTACACAAGCGACCCATCTTCCTTCAGCACCTCTTAGTCAGAGTTGAGCTACAAATAAAGTAAGAAACATAAAAGAGTTCTGTAAAGTTCAGTGGGCTTCTGATACTCACCACTGTCGGAATGCAAGTATCCCCATCTCGTACAAAATAACACTTTGCCATACGTAAACCATCATAAGCAGATCTCAGCCTAATACCACTATTGACTGAGGCAGTTTTCGCTGCATAGCTACACACTTCAGCTACCTGCTTTCATTATGCACTCACCTACACCAAGCTAGTGCTTGGGATTCTCAGGGTGTAAGTAAGTATTAGTAAATTAATGGAGCGTACTTTTTACTAACTAGGGAACCACAGGTTGTAGAAAAGTCACTGTTTCAGATGCTGTACACATACGCATGCTCTGCCCAAAGAACTGGTCTCTTCTCTTCAGAGCACTGCTGGTAAATACACAAAGCTGCTGCCTAGGAAGACCATCGATGTCCGTTTAATAAGCCTTTGAAGGCTGATTCACTACCTCCATCAGAGGCACATCTCAGCTCAAACATATTGGGTTATTGTAACGGTGACTAACATCAAGCGCAATTGAACATTAACAGTATACCTCACCAGGATACTGCCTTCCTCCTGATTTCAGTACAGAAAGCCAGCAAAACAATTCTGCACAAAGTAAAGACACCAAGGCACAAAACTGGCCAGAGGATTCTCTAAGAAACTTTCTGGTTGTTCTTTACAAAGGAGCACCTGGAGAAACTGGCTGCCATGATGGTCAATTGGTTTGACACTTGGCTCTCTTTGATAAATCTAAGGATAATTTGTGTTTCATAAATGCACATGCCACACAATTCCCTGCCTAGAGAAATTCCGCTTGTCCATGACATGGGGCATGGTCACCCTGAATATTACATTTAGATTATTATCACTTCTCACTAAAGGTGAGTTGATTTGCCGTCTCTGCTGTTAAACATGAGCATCAGCTTTCCTATGATGAAATATGTATGGGCAAAGTTACGCAGAGGTAAGCCCTTCCTGTACTTCCACTGTCTTTAGCTTCTAAGGGGCTTTGGGCAATTATGCAAAACATTATGCATTTATATAGTATCCTGTATCCCAGACGAGAACCTCTTCTGATGGGTGCTGCAGTGAAGTTATCCTGTCCTACTCATGCTAGATTAGGAGCCCAGTCTGGGAGAAAGAGATGCCATATCCTAGCTGGAAAAACACTAAACCATCCTACACAGCTACCAACTCCACACAACCTGTTGTCTAGATGTACTGCTTTCCACTCAGACTCTAACCCCTACTCTAACCTGTTCTCTTCAGTCCTTCTCCTTCAATTCTCTTTTTCCAGGACAGCACATGCTATTCAAGAAAAGAGTCTGGAAAAACAAACAAAAGCAAGCAGAATTTAAACAGAGTGAACAGTAAAATCTCACTAAGCCATCTGATGAACAGATCAGTTCACATGGACGTTTCCTACAGAAGGCGTTTCCACATGTGCCATGCTTACACCTACATAAAGAAGAATTAGTTTTCCACCCTTCCCCATCAATTGAAAGCACATACTTCCTCAGAGAAAGGATTATGAGGATGTCTGTCTAGTGTTCCTCTTTACCTCCATCTCTGAAAAAAATTAAACTAGTCCTTCCCAAACACGTCAGACCCATACATTCTGTAAGAGCACCTTCGTAACCTGTAGAGTTTGCAAACTCAAACACATAAATGGGTTATAACAAAGAGACAAAAATACTACAACAGCTTCAGCTTGGATCAACTAAGACTGCCTGCTTTTTAAAGCAGATCCTACCCTATTTTGTCTCCCTTAAGTCAGGAAACAGAAATCGTTCTCACACAGTTATACAACCCGTCTCTTTAGAGACACAACAGAACTCTGTATCTTTGCTTAAAGACAACAATATCATGTCTTTGCATTTGGCTAGAAAAAAATTGGCACCACTTACAGTATGCAGACGAGTAAGACCTTGGGAAGGGTCCCATTGGGAGAGGAGTGCTCCCTGCTGCCCCAGGGACCGGGCTTATGATGGATTGGAACGGGGTTCCTGGAATGCAAGCCTGTGAAGACATCTCTAACAGTCCCTCTCTTTTCTCTTCTACAAGTGATGCACTTCTACTATCACACACAGGAAACTAAAACAACCACAGGTACTGAAGTAGAGCTCCCCACACCTACAGTCTCAGCTTAGCTCTTTCAAGCAGGTACAATAGTTTCAGTTCACTTTTACTTGTATAGAAGACAAAGAGGCTCATGAACTCAAGGTGTTCAAGTGGCTTCAGGCTTAGCCAAAAAGACATCTCAGCCAGGAACGACCTGGGGCATCCAGACAGACTCCTACACACTAGGAGACAAGCCCAAAGAAGAGCCACATGGAGCAGGACTCACAGGAAGTAACGCTGAGAAATAGTTCTGGGAATCCAGGTTTGCATCCAGCTGCTGCAGTGGGAACTCCAGGATCACTTTACTGAGCACCTGCATCATCTCCTTCAGGCCAATGTTATACGCATACCTGCGAGGAAAAAGGCAAAAAACCCCAACATTTCACACTATCTGAACTCTGCAGACTGTAGCTCGTCATAGAGATACAGCAGAAAATTTGATTTTCATCTTCCAGACTTGTTTTTTATTTGTTTGGTTGGTTTTCCAAACATTCAGGCAATAAAACCACCTTGCATTGCATCAGGCCCTGCATAAGGCCACAAGTCCTGAAAATCTGCTATCACAGCAGAACAAGCTGCTGCAGGGACAGCTCCCTCACGTTTACTAGAGTGCTGTAGGAATACCGTTGCACAAAAGAAGGGAAACAGGTTTGTATTTGAGAAATACTAGGTAAAAGGCACTCTGATTATGTGTTCTAGACTTGCTGCTGTAAAAACAGTGGACAAGCCACACTGCGGCACAGCCCCAGCTGTAGGCAGCTGTCTGAATGTTGCAATGCACAGAGCAGCAGCCCGTGCATGAACTCACAGGCAGTCTGCGCCAAGAGCTGGCTTGCTCTCTTCAGTCCACAGTTACTTAAACAGCAATTCAATCTCTTGTTACAGAATTGGGGCAGGAAAAGCCTAACCACTGAGGATGCTATAGATGCAGCTGGCGCTCTCCATCAACTCTTGTCGTCATTCAGTCATGTTCTCTAATCTGCATTTCTCATGTTCTATACTGATAAAATTAATGTTTTGCAATCAAGCATGGGTATTCACATGGTTTCTCCTTCGCTTTCTAGATCCGCTATCAAACCCAACTGTTCAGCATAAGGGACAGCATCCCTAAGGGAAGACTCACTTGAGGGAGTTGATTTCCAGGACCAGGTTGTCACAGGAAATGTTTTCTTCTTCGCCCCTCTGTAACGTACCCAGAACCTCATTCTGGAAAACTAATGAAAGAAAGGACAGGCAGTTAGACATGAGAGGGAAAAGCACAGATTCTTCAAACTGTTCATTACTGAAGAAACTATGCCCTTAACAAAGGAAGCATTCTGACACAGATGTCTATTTGTTCTCCGTAAGCTGGCACAAACCCACATCAACTATACTTATAAATAGTGGAATATAATTCAAACCTACGAGATATCATTTATCTATCCACACAAACCAGTACAAAGCTATTTACCTCTGCAACCTTTTAGAGCAGTTTCCATTATACTTTCACAATCTAGCCTTTCCTATTCAGACAAACCTCATCTTCTCCTAACTAAAGATGTGAATTCAAACCTAAAATATATCGCTTTAATGTCCTTTGAGGAGATATTTTAACATGAAAAAGGTTTTTTTTTCCAGTTTGGCTTGAACCTCTTTCAAATCCAGGTAAGCTGAACACAACAAAACAGAAAACCAAAACCAAGAGGCAGCTCCTACAAGGACATTTAATTCTCCAGTACAATTACAGCAGCAAGCTGTCCACACAAGGAAACTCTGCTGGACCTTCACACAATCTCTGAGTTTAGACAACGACACTGCCATTTAAACAGACAACTCGGGCAGGTCACTTTCATGAAGGCCCAGTGATCACGAGTGAGAAAGATGAAGGATCTTTGTCTAGCTTCTCATCCCTGGCTGCCTTGAGTTAACACGACAGCAATACAGGGAATATTAAAGAACTCTGTAGAGAACGTAGGCAGTGAGGTCAGGAAACAAACATATTATAGACATCCACAAATTTTCCAATATACCTGGAGAAAGCAGCACAAATCTCACACTCACTGCATTATCTGCAGACTCACCATACTTCTTAACACCTTAACATCTCTCACCTTTGATGTCATCTAGCTGAGGGGACGCTGCCCGACTGTCTGGCTCCTCAGAGCCCATGCTCAGGTCGCTGTCTGACTCGCTCTCTTCCTCTGAATGCATAGCTGGGCCTGACGAAGAAGAGAAGACTCAGCATTCAACACCCAAAAGCTGCAGCTGTCATATGCATGAGGAACCAGGTGTTCCAGGGACTTCCCAACCAAGTCAGCAACTATCTGTCCTTGCAAGGAAGCTTCTACTTACAGGTCCAGATGATTAGATTTGCTGCAGAGGGAATGCTACAGCTGGCACTAGGATAATGGGACTTTTTTTAAGAGTCTGCAGGCAGACAACAAAGGACAGGGACAGAAGCAAATGCATTTTGCGCAGACTGCTGACTCACGGCAGAGCAATATCAGCAGACGCTGTCACTAGCAGGAAAAAAGCCAGCAGCACCCGGAATAGCCAAAGCATATTCCCTCCAAGGGAGGGCCTGGTATCCCACGGTGCACCATTCACAGCACAGACAGCTGTGTGTTAGCGTAAGTCAAAGATATAATAAACATCTTCCACAGAGCACAGGAAGAGAGAGAATTTGGTCCACTGCCTGCTTTCACCTCTCACCTTGCCTCCACACACATATGTTATCTGGAGCCAGCCCACTTCACAAAGCCCAGGTCTTACTCTAGACACAATTATCAGTGTCCCACCCAGCCAGTTTCCCCAACACAGGTCTGTCTGTCCATCCCCAGCTGACTACACTAAACTTTTCCTCACCCCATAGGCTTTGTCTCTGCTCTTCATCCTCTTCATTCTTGTCATCTGCTTTCCAGAGATAGCCTCTGCCCTCTGAGCCTACATCCTTTTTATTGTAACCTGAAAGAGAAACAGCGATTAGGAGGCAGATGTACTGGATGTGCTTACAGGCAAACCTGAAATAAGACTGGTATAACCTGCATATTACTGCCCCTAAATATCCTTCATCAAGAGGGAGCTGGGATTCCTGCAGATGCATACGGATTTCAACTTTTATCTTCTCACTTGCCTTGACAAGTGAAACTTACTCCTCCCTACAGCAGCAACATTCAGCTGACCATGTTTAGATCCCTTGACAAAACCAAACTGGTAGAAACAGTATTTCACAAGGACAAAGTCCTTGGACACAGTCCAGGTATGAGGACATAGATCTTGCAACCCGCCTTGAACTGAACAGCTTCAGCTTATTGTCTCCTACAAGGCTCCTACTCTAAGAAAAATGGAAAATAGCTGAGTGTCCAAAGATTTTAATACTGGGGTACTGAGGTACATCTCACTGTCCAACTTCAGCTGAATATCCTTGCTTGCCCTACTGAAAACACACATGTTCTCAGCCGAGTGCAGCACTAAGCTCCAGCCTGGCACTGCAGAGTCTAGAATTGGGGAGGGAAAGAACCCGGAAGATCATGGAAGGCAAATCCCTCTGCACAGCCTGAGTGCATGGAGCCAGAGACTCTCCTACCTTTCAGTTTCACTTTGCTTTCCTCCTTGTTCACGCCGGAATCATCACTGAACTGGTCATCATCCTCTTCCTCCTCATCTGGTGGGTGCAGAGAGATCACTGTGCCTTCAGAAAGGGTGATGCCAGGACCTACTACTACCTGCAAATATGTGCAACATATCTTAATGAAGAAATACGTTGGTTGCCCCCTTGCACCTCCACCAGCAGGGACAACAGCTGCTCCAGACAAGCTGTATACTAACAAATAACTGAAGACATCAGCACTGCTAGATCACATACCATACTAACCTAGCCAAACAAAAGGAAGAAAAAGGTGGGAGCAGTAGCATATCCCTCACCTCTGCAAAAAGGCTTGGAGCAGCCCTGTATTCTGGTATGCTCTAGTGTAAGTCTAGTAACCTGCCAAGAAAGGCAGAAAGTAGAACAGACATAAATACAGCTCACCTGAGAAGAGAGGACACAGTGGGGCTTTAGCTTCACTTTCTCCTTCACTTCAGCTTCATCGCAGACAACAGAATGGCAGATCTCCACGTTATCTGCTATGTGCACTCTGTCCCAGAGAAAAGCTCCGTCCAAAGTGACTTTATCACCTGTTATACATCACCAAGCACAAATATGTTGAGCAAGGCAGTTTGCTGCTCTCCCACACTGCTGGGTCCACTAGAAAGCATCTTACTGAATCCCAATGCCCTTGATGCATGATGGATGTTAGATGAAAGGTAAAAATTGGCCTTAGAGGCCTACGGCCACTTCTTACCCAAAGCTCAAAGACAAGTTTGTTCTCTACAGAGACTTAACAAGTTGACAGTAGCAACTGACATCTTGGTTTTGCACAAATACAGCCAAATCACAAAAACAATCCAGCCAAGACTAGAAAGAAGGACTACTAGGCAGCTCTCGAAAACAGGGACAGATGTCCCTCACTTCCAGGATGTTGGTGGATGATAACTCTAGATCAGTAAAGGTCATGTGTTCTCTATGGCTGAAACAACTTACATGCATGAAGTGCCTTCCACCTTTCAGCATCATTATCGTACCCTGAAAACTTTAATATATTTTCTCTGCTAGAAAACCAAGCTTTTCTCCCTTCTTCCCATTAGAATTCAATCAGTACCCACCTATCATCCTCTCTCAGAGCCAAATGCACTTTAAAAACTAAATCCCAACAACCTGTGCCCTTGCCTGGCAAGGCCTGCACGTCCCCCATTCTTGTACTCACCTATCCTACAGTTCTGCCCAATAACGCTGTTTGTTATGGAGCAGTTGCTGCCGATGACTGTTCCCTGCCCAATGAGTACATTCTCTTCCAGCACGCTGCCGTGGCCGAGGCTAACATCCACCCCTCGGTAAATGTTGTGTTTAGAATGGGTGTAACTCTGATTCTCGTCATCGGTGAAGTTCATCTCTGGAGTCAAAGGATAAACCCAGCGCCGGATGATGTCAGAGCACACAGCTTCGTACATTAGCAGGTTGCATATATGGGCACCGTACTCTTCTGTCGTTACATGCATATGGATCTGGTTCCCCAGGACCTGGGAGACAGGCAGGAGCAGGTCAGAAGATTCTCTAACGCAAGGTAGTAGGATCTCCCTTGTAACAACCCTCTCCTTACCTCCTCATTCACCAACAGACCACGCACAAAGTCATCCCGTGTCTGGTAGTCAAAATTGTCTGTGAACAGCTCAGCCACCTGCCAGGAATAAAATATAAGGAAATAATAGAGTTAGCAGAGAACGTTGCCAGGGAAGCCAGGTAATTAATGGCTATTCAGTGGTTCTCAGAAAGCCAAGTTATACAGTAGAGGAAAGTGATGCTCTTGCCTTGAATAAAGCTTTCTTCTGCTAGGAGTGTTGACCTTCCCATCTCTTCCTCCTAATGGAGACTATGAACAGATTCTGGTTTTCAGGAGGGGCAAAACATTGCTTTAGCATTTCCAAGCAATCCGCCCAGCCTCACGTAGTTTCACTCCCAAAGGAAGGCTGTACGCCAGCTTTTTCAGATGTGGAAGAGATGTCAGCGAGCCTAAGCTGGAATAACCCTGAATGTTACCCTAACATGGTACCAGCTTGCAAGTACTGACACTTTTCCATAGCCATCACCTCTGCTCCACAGATGCTACTATACTCGAAGTGAAATTGCTTATTTTCCAGAATAGTTTCATCTGGTGCCAAATCAGCCAGTCTACCGAGGCATCCACTGCCTAGTTCTGCCTGGGCTCGAGCAGTGGATGCCAGATACAGACTAAAGCACCCATACAGTCCGCAGAGCAGCGGCGCATGATCACTCAGGCTCTCAGCTCAGTCAGAGCACAACTGGGTGTTCTGGTTTCCAAACCTAGTACACTCAGGCCACATGCACCCCCTGCATACCAGCAGGATAAAGGGAGCAATGCAGATTGGATTTTGGACCCTCAGAAGGGCAGAGCTCACCTGTGGAGAGCAGATGCTGATATGACAATCCAGCAAGTCATGGCGCACCTCAACGTTCTCAATAGAGTTCTGGAACAGACTCTGAAAAGAGGAAAAAATTCAGATGATCCGAGTGCCTCACGCAGTACCAAACCCCAAAGGCCTTCTCTAAACCAGGGGCAGTATTGACTGAATTATTAAACTAGCTGAAGTTCGGGAGATCAGAGAAATCTATAATCTACACTGAGACACAGGCTTAGCAGGCACAGCCTGGTCACACGCAGAGCTGCGTGTCAGTCAGCAAAGGCTGCCCTCGTCCTCACACAGCGCAGCTCTCCAAGAAACAGCTTGTACTTTGAATGATCACTTTTCCTCCAGGAGGCTCCTTACCTTAGTCGCTGGGAGCTACAAATCTACAAAGAACATTAATAAATCAAAATGCAATGTTTGTAGCTTCCATACCTCCTGTTTTTACAGCTGAGCATTGGTTTTTTGTTGTTGTCATTTTTTTGTTTGTTTTGTTCTTTTCTTTTTGGTTTCCTATGGTGATTTGTGCTTTCATTCGAAGGTAAAAAATAATCTACTGATTACTGATTTGGGGATGAAAATGCCATATAATCACAGTCTTAGTTCTGAGTTGCAAAAAGAAAAAGGTCCATCTATCTCACTGGAGAAAGTGCCTCCACAGACATTTACAGAGCATTTACTACATTATTAGAAGAACCCATAACCTTTTCAGGTGAACAGTACAGGCAGAGGTAGTAGGAGGTACTACCCCTTGCACCTGCTGTTATTCTACCCCCCCATGCAAGGCTCAGCGCCACTTCAAAATGGTTTGTGTACAATAGTGGTATACGCATCCCAATTCGGGAACCCCTGCGACAGCACAAATCATCCATCTCCCTTGTTTCACATGGAGAAAAAGAATCAAATAAATGCAAAAATTGAACTGTGGGAAATATGTCTGCCCTGTCTTCAAACTCTGAAATGAGTCCCAAACATGTGTGCCCCAGCACGATTTCACCAAGCCTCAAATAAAGGTTAAAGTCAAAAAAAGCCAGTTTACCAAGAGTTACTTCCTATCATCTGCTCCTCCAAAAGAAGCAGCAAGCACAGTTCCCCAGCCCTGACTCAAGGAGGACCTCCTCCTTGGCGTGGGCTGCTTCACTACTGCATCCCTGTTCCACCCATCAGTTTCCAGACGCACCATAGGAAAGCGGAAGCGTTTCAGCCCTTGGGTTCTCTGGTAGTGAAGGACACGGTTTGTGGCACTGTCCATAGCAATAACAATGTCATCTTCTTTGCACCTGGCATGGTGGCCAGGCGAGGACTCCTTGAATACCATCGTCATCACAGAAACATTCTTTTCCATCTTACGACGCAACCTGAAAAAGAAGGGCAGAACTTTAAAATCACTCTTCAGAGAGTTAGAGCCCAGAGTCTCAGCACACCAAGCAACCGTACACTCTTTCAACACCTACTTGTGCTCTTCCAGGGCTTTGGATATATTGAAATTGGACACCACATCTCCAGTGACGAGAATAAAGTCAGAACGAACAAGGGACTTGGCATCAACATCTCGTAGCACGTCACCAAGGGAGCGATACAGGTCAGAAGTCACAAAGCGCACCGTGTTGGGAGAGGTGTGGCGGCACCACTTGGATTTTCTGGAAGGAGAAAAACACATCAGGAAGGCATAAAGAGGATATTCCTGTAGAGAACACACTAGGACACAGTGCCCCAGTGCACACCACATCTGTAAGTGAACGCAAGGAGAATCCTATTACTATCGATAGGCTTAGGGATGCTCATTTGCACACAGCAGATGAGCTGAAGAGGGTTAGACTTTGAGACCGTAGCTTATGGAAACTTAGGAAACCCGACTCCACTGTGAGCCAAGTTTTGACAAAGGAGAAGTTACATGCAACCCAAACTTTTTTTTCTCGGAAAGCAGTATCTCAGGCAGGGAAAAGACTGCATGCTTCTCCTTAGCTTGCAAACCTGCAGCATGCAGAGGCAAAGGTGCTGTCTGAGCGACCTGCTTCCATATGCTGCACAACATACCGAGACAGGGCATAACACAAAGGGCAGTACTCTAATTTACACAGCTATCCAGGTGACCCTGGCTTTTAGACAAGAAAAGTTAAATGCCAATACAAACACAGTCCCGAAACACTCAACCCTTTTAATACACTGCACAACCACACTCCTTCACAGGAGGGATGGTCTTTTTTTGAGATGTGTTAGGAGACTTCTCTTGGAAGGGGATCTCTAGCACATGGTTTTCATCAGAAGGATCAGTGAGACCTTTGAGGCTTGCTGGTGGATAGAAGAATCCTCCCCATGATAAAGCTAAAAAGAAGAAGAGAGACTTACTGTAAATGCTCTTTTATCTCAGCTGACTTCCAACAGCAGAAAACGAAGGTTTCTTCCACTCCAGTTGCTGTTAGGAACTCCAAAGTATAGTCAATCATGGCCACATTTGCCATAGGTAAAAGAGCCTGAAAAAAAAGACACACAGATAGCTGAACAAACACTCTGTACCTCAACATCAGCAACAGTCCCTTCCAACTTGAGGATATATCATCAGTGGCACCAGAAAAATAACACAAATAACTGCTCTACCTCCTTTTATCAAAAATTTTCAAAGCTGATCTAAACAGTAAGAGCTAGTTTCTGATCTTCTGTAGGGGCAGATCCTCATTTCAGAGAGGAAAGCATAAAAGAAATGAAGTTATCACACATAAAACTCTTCAAGATTACTTAAATAACTGACAGAGACTAAAAAAAAAAAAAAAAAAATCCCAGAGTGCTGATTCCCTGACTCAGGCTTTAACTGGTACAAGAAAAACCTGACAGCCACGAATGATGAAGCCACAAGAATATGAGTGTCCAGAATTAAAGCAGGGGGGGGAAAAAAAAAAAACAAACAAACACGATCTAAAGTGAAGTGAGATTCAAGCCACACTTTTAAACCAAGTTACTGACTCACAACTGAGTGATCTCAAACTATTCTTTAATTCATTTTGGTGACGTTTTGTTTCAGGCCTGAGCTCGCGTGTATAATTATGACCACAAACATTTCATCGGCAAATGAGGTAAGATAATTGTTCAGACCTAAGTTCTCCAGAAGCGCTCTTTCCTTTAACATAGAGCCTTCTGATCTGGATAATTAAAGTGCTTTCCCCATCCATTTTTCTGACCATATTGTTTTAGCCATTACTGTTGGCGAGAATAAAGATTTTACTTCTTTGCTCTATCGGAAACAAGCCCGCCCAAACCCGCTGCCGCTCCTGCATCAGCGACAGATGAAAAGCAAACAGCGCTGTTCGCCTTTCCATATGGAAAAGCAAACAGTACCAACGCAGCAATTAGATCCTCGCTGCCTCTCCAGCGGGGGATATAAACTCCTACAAGCGAGGAGAACCGGCCGGAGGCTTCCACGGCGTGGGGGAAGGCGGGAAAAACCGCGGCGGCGGGGACTGCCCGAGCCCTGGGCCCCAGCAGCGCCCCGAGACCTGCCGGTAGCGGCGGGGGGGGGGGCGGCCCCCCTCCCCCCCC